ACTTACAGAGATCTACCTGCCTCTGCCTCCTGAGTGCTGGGATTAAAGGTGTGTACAACCATGCCTGCCTATTGCATGTTTTTTTATTCCCCTTTTCTACTAATTTTTATTCTATAAACATACCTTTTTCTTCTTATTATTATTATTTTTTTTTTTTTTTGGTTTGGTTTTGGTTTTTTGTAACAGGGTTTTTCTGTATAACAGCCCTGGCTTTCCTGGAACTCACTTTGTAAACCAGGCTGGCCCCAGCCTCAGAGAGGTCTGCCTGCCTCTGCCTCTCAAGTGATGGAATTAAAGGCATGTGCCACTACTGCCTAGCATTTGTTTGCTTATTTTAAAGGAAGTGTATCCTGTAGCCAAGAATGGCCTTCAATTCCTAATCTTCTGGTCCCCACCTCCCAAGCAGATAACAGTCATGCCCCACTACATATGGGGTGCTGGAGAACAATCCCAGGACCTAGTGCATGCCAGATTGGGTCTCTGTTAACCACATTGCATTCCAGCCTCACAGATCATTTTGTAAGTCATAGAGAGAGAAGGATCAAGTTTTCAGAAGACACTAAATCTTTTTTTTGTATGTGTGTGCTTTATATTGAGAACTGTTATTAGTGAAATAAAACAAAACAAAACAGAAAACCTCATGCTCTTCCATATGGACCCAGAAAACTACACAAAACCAAAACTTTATATAGCTGCCTTTTTTTTTTTATTGTGTCTGTCCATTTTGCCTGCATGTTTGTCTCTGTGCATGCCTGGTGCCTGGGGAGAACAGGAGGCCAGAAAAGGGTATCAGATCTAGAACTGGAGTTATAGATGGTTGTGAACTATTATGTGGGTACTGGAACTTGAACCTTGGTCCTCTGGAAGAACAGCCAGTGCTCTTAAGTTCTGAGCCATCTCTCTGTTTATTAAATGTATATCCTGTTAATACAGTGTCTCATTCAGTGCCAAAAGTAATTCTGTGAAACAGGTGTTATTAAGGCTAACAATACCTGTCTTTCTCATCATTGAAAAATGCCGGGTGGTGGTGGTCCACGCCTTTAATCCCAGCACTCGGGAGGCAGAGGCAGGCGGATCTCTGTGAGTTCGAGGCCAGGCTGGACCGATAGCCTCCAAAACAATACAGAGAAACCCTGTCTCATAAAAACCAAAAAAAAAAAAAAACCATCATTGAAAAATGATGCCTCCCGCCAGGCGTTGGTGGCACACGCCTTTAATCCCAACACTCAGGAGGCAGAGGCAGGTGGATCTCTGTGAGTTCGAGGCCAGCCTGGTCTACAGAGCCGATTCCAGGATAGCCTCCAAAGCCACATAGAAACCCTGTCTCGAAAAACCAAAAAAAAGAAAAATGATGCCTCCCAAGTGATGGAATTAATGGTGTGTGATACCACTGCCCAGCTGGATCGTGTTTTCTAATACAGTCTATTAGTCTATCTTTTTATTGGAGAATTGAAACCATTAATACTAAGACTTGTTGAACAGTGTTTTATTAATTCCTGTTATTTTGTGTGGCTGTAGTGTTTTCTTTTTTTCTTTTTGGTATTTCAAGACAGGGTTTCTCTGTATTGTTTTGGAAGCTGTCCTGGAACTCTCTCTGTAGACCAGGCTGGACTCGAACTCACAGGCCTGCCTCTGCCTCCCAAGTGCTGGGATTAAAGGCGTGCACCACCAACGCCCGGCTGTAGATTAACTGTTCTGGGATTATGTATGTGCCTCCTTTGGTATATTTAATCCTCTCCTCAGACCGAAGTAGTTCTTTCAGTATCCTATACAGCTGGCTTAGTGAACATAAATTCCTGTTTTTAATCATAAAACTTCTTTTTCCTTTGATTATAACTGATAGATTTGCTTATGTAGTAGTCTTGACTGACATCTGTGGTTACTTAAAACTTGTAGAACCAAGTCCTCTGGCTTTAAAAGCTGCAGTTGAAGTCAGGCGTTAGTTTGATATGCCTGTCTTTATATGCACTTGGTTTTTGTTGTTACTTGCAGTATCCTATGTTCTGTCCATTTAGTGTTTCCGTTATGTGACTGGGTTTCATTTCTGGTTTTGGTATTCCTATATGCCTCTTGCACCTTTTTCTTCTGTGATTTTGTTGAAAATATTTTCTGTATCTTTGACCTGCATTTCTCCTACTTCTATACCTATTATTCATATATTTAGTCTTTTTGGTTTTTTTGAGACAGAGTTTCTCTATGTAGCCCTGGCTATCCTGGAACTCAATCTGTAGACCAGGCTGGCCTCAAACTCAGAGATCCACCTGCCTCCACCTCCAGAGTGCTGGGACTTGGTCTTTTTAATAGTGTCCCAGATTTCCCACATACTCTGCTTTATTTTTTGTTTTTAACATTTTCCTTTGCTATAAGACTTTCTTCCTCTGCCTTGCTTGTGCAACCCGATACTCTCTCGTCCACCTAATCCAATCTGTTGGGAATACATTTCTTTTATCTTTTTGTTTGGATTTCTGAGTTTATTTCATTTTGGCTTTTCTTCAGAAATTCTATCCTTTTATTAAATTCCATGTTGAGTTGTTTCACTATTTTGTTCATTTGTTTATGTTTTCTTGGTTTTCATTTGGCCATTTCTTCATATCTTTGTTGAATTCCTTGAACATATTTATAATTGCTGTTTTGAGAACATTACCTTGTGCATTAACTAAGTCATTTTTCTCCAGAAGCATTACTGTGCGAGTACTCACTTCTGGAGGAGACATTGTCTTGGTTATTCATGTTTGTGTGTTAGCGATTGAACCTAGGCATCTAGTGTTGGGTCATTGGCTGTGTTGCTTGGTATGGATATCTTACCTTGACTTCCATGAGTCGGTGTTCAGATCTTTGTTTGTTGTTATCACAACTTGTCAGGCTTGTGGTCCAGCCAGAGGTTCTTGGTAGTGAGTATTGGGCTCCCTCAGTGTTTATGTGCAAATGGGATATCAGAAGTGTTCTCAGCTCAGGTAGAGATACATGTAACTTCTGAGACAGGAATAAACCTGTAGGCTTATAAGGTTTTTGCTACTGATCATCAAGCCTGTAGAGGACTTGCTGGCTTCTGCAGGTGGTCCTGAGCGGCAGGGAATGGGATCACATTTGGAGTGGGCAGTCCTCTGTGGGTATGGGGCACAGGATGCCACAACTTCCTCCATTGGAGGTAGGTTAAGTGGAGTCCTTATCTTGGATCAGGCAAATGGCATGTCACTCGGTCCTGAGGTATCTTAGTGTAGATGTGGTAACAAACTGGCTCTGGTCCACATCTAGAGTTCCAGGTTATCTTCCATATAGTACTGGGCATCATGATGGGTGAGGTGGCTGCTGGGCAGGCAGAATGGTGGAGTGGATCTACTGGGGGTGCCCTTGAAATCTGTCAAACTCTACATAGTACCTGGGCACCACAGTAGTTGGGGTGACTGATAGGCAGGTGAGTAGGCAGAATGGGTCTGGAAGTCCTTATTGGAATTCTGGGTTGGACTCAGCTTTATATGTGGGTATCCAAACCCAGGTCCTCATATTTTCACAGCAAGCGCTGAGCTACCACCTCCCCATCCCAGTAGCATGGGATGCTCTGACAGCATTTTACTCACAGTAGAACCTTGCTGTGCTTTAGCAAGTATTAAAATTTACATTTAAAATGCTCCCACAAGTTCAAGTGTTTGAACACTTGGTACCCAGCTAGTGTGCTGTTTTGAGATATTGTGGGACATTTAGAAGGCAGGGTTTAGCTAGAGGAAGTGCTGGTTGAGTGGGTGGAGCAAGCTTTCATATTTATAGCCTAGCCAGCTTCCTGTCCTGTCTGCTTCCTGGTCTGCTTAGAAATGAGCCAGTAGCCTCACATTCTTGCTACAGCCAAGAGTGCCTCCCACTGTCATGCCCTCCCTGCCAAGGTGTAGCCAAAATAAACCTCACCTCCATTAAGTTGCCTCTTGTCATGTATTTGATAACAATGACCAAGAAAAGCAATGATGACAAGTAGAATAACCTAAATCCTTTGTTATCATTTTGATGGTTGTAGCATCTTCACCAGAAACATTCCATTTTAAGAAATTACTTTCTGGGATGTTGTGCAATTCTATTCCTGGGGAGAGATATGAACAAATGTCTCCGCACCACATGGGGAACAAGATAAGCCAAAGTAAGGATACCTCCAAAGTTCAAGTTGGTGAACAACAGAACTTTATTTAGAGTTATTTACAGGAGCAGAAATGACTCAAAGGCAGTTATTACCAAATCCCACCCCCGCATGGAAGACCATTCACAAAAGCTGGAAACCTGGGGTGAACTGCAGAGCCTATAGGCAGCTCAACAGCTTGGAGAATGTCCTTTCCAGGTAGTTCAGTTGTTCTCAGTGTCTTCCAGGCAGATTGGCAAGTCTCTGCTTCTAAGCAATTGCCTTATCTGAGCTCCTTCTAGGCCAGAGGTTCCTAACCTGTGGATTGCAACCATCAGAATATACATATTACCAGTGGTCTTAGGAATCCTCAATCAGACATTTTATTTTTGTTGCTACTTCATGACTGAGTGGTGGTGTCTGATGGTCTCAACTCACAAATTGAGAACCACTGTTCTAGGTAACTTGGCTTGTCTAAGAATGTCTCTCAGCAGTCTTTGTTGCTTAGCCACACAGGGAGGGAGGGAGGAGCCTAATGAATCTTACTGGCTTCAGGGATTTCCTGAAACTATGAGATTAATAAACTCAGGATGGAATATTTCGCCCCCTCTTAGAACATCTTACTGTTTCAGTTCCCTGTAAACAGCCTGTGTCTGAATGAGCTGCCCCATTTGATGGATGAAGTCATGGAGGAAACTGCTGAACAACAGATGGTGAGATGGTTCAGCTGGTAATATCACTTGCCAACAAACGAGATGACTTGCGTTTGATCCCCATTCTCATGGTGGAAGAGAACTGCCTCTGGGAGTTGTCCTCTGACTGCCACATGTGTACCCTGGCATGTGCACGCTCCCCAGCCCCCCAAAATACATAAATGTAATAAAGTATTTTATTTTTGCAAAGACGGTCCAAATGCAGTCCCCACTGCCACAGCATGTGCAGTTGAATCTCCCACATTGGGGGAGGTCATGGGGTCAGCACATCCAGCCTGCAGTGAATGAATCTTGCCCTGGGAAAGCCACTTTCATGATCATGTGTCTTGTGAAGAGACACCATGACCATGGCAACTCTTGTAAAGGAAAAACATTCAACCGGGGTGGCTGACATTCTCAGAGGTTAAGTCCGTTATCAACATGGGGGTGTGCAGGCAGACATGATTCTAGAGGAGCTCAGCATCCTACATCTTGTCCCAACCAACAGGAAGTGAGCTGTGTGTCACACTGCAGAGCCTAAGCAAAGGAAACTTCAAAGCCCACCCCCAATGACATACTTCCTCTGACAAGGCCATACCTACTGCGGCAAAGCCACGCCTCCTAATAGTGCAATTCCATGTGAGTTTATGGGGAGGCAATAAAGAAAGAAACCACTTTATTTGCTAATCTGTTAGTAGAAATTCTGTCCAATCCTCAGACTCCATTGCTAACTCCTTTGCTACTGGGCCGCATCAGCAGCTACTGACTACATGGAAGTTTTAAAACCCTCAAACTGACACATGAGGATTAAAGTTAACTTCTTCCAAATTATCCATAATATTTTTAGCTCCTCCCAAGAATCCCAAAATTTCCTTATGGCATCTAGAGTGGTGAATTTCTTCCAGAAGGTTTTCAGTTACTTTGTGTACACCAATCAAAGGAATTACCACACCAGTTGAAGTCATATAAAAATAACACTAATAAAAATTGGGATAGGGATTAGGGAGCTTCAAGACAAGGCTTCCTGTGTGGTACTTGAATTCATAGGAAGCTGGCCTCAAACTCTCACAGATCTGCCTGCTTGGACCTCCAAAGTACTGAGATTAAAAGTGTGTGCCACAGAGTCCATTAAAATATTAACTAACACTTAAAGTGAAAATTGCTCCTTGATCCAGTCCTGCAGAATGAATACTGGGCCATCGAAAGCAACATCCAATCACTTATCTCCATTGGAGATCTTGTGCAGTATTAATAAGTCTCCAGAAAAAAAAAAAAAAGAGAGAGCCACACCTATGATTGAATAGAATTTCAACTGTGGAAAATAGAGATAAAGAGGCCCTGTCCAAGTTTCCTTGCTCTCTTAGCCCCCTAAACAACCTACCTCTGCTTGTAACCTAATGTAAATGCGTTTGAGCTGTACAAACAGCCTTAGCTTCTACTGTCTCTTAGCTGAGAGTGTACAGATAACACCTGAGACCTGTATTAGACTCTACTGCTCTCCTAGAAATTGTCAAGCAGATGATTTGGTTGGTTTGGTCTTTCCAGACAGGGTTTCTCAGTATAGTCCTGACTTTCCTGGAACTAGCTCTGTAGACCAGGCTAGCCTCAAACTCACAGAGGTTCTCCAGCCTCTGCTTCCTGAGTGCTAAGATTATAGACAGTCATCACAAGCATCTGACAAGCAGGTGTTTCTACCAGTGTATTTTAAAAGTACCTTGAGACTAGAGAAATGATTCACCAGTTCTTATAGAGGACCTGGGTTTGGTTCTCACAATCCATATTGGATAGGTCATAACCATCTATACATCCGTTTCCTTGGAGATTTGGCTTCTGTGGGTACCTGGCCACGTGTAATACACATACATGCACTTCAGAAAACGTATAGAAAATGAGAGATCTTAAAGACTACTGGGGGGGGGGGGACTGGAGAAATGGCTCAAAAAGGTTACTAGCACTGGCTGTTCTTCCAGAAGTTCTGAACTCAGTTCCCAGCAACCATGTGGTGGCTCACAACCATCTATAATATCCGATGCCCTCTTCTGGCCTGCAGGAACACTACATAGTAAGTAAATTAAAAAAAGAAAGAAAGAAAGAAAGACTGTAAGCTGGGCATGGTGGTGCTTGCATTTGATCACTGCACTTAGGCGACAGAGGCAGGTGGATCCCAGCCTGGTCTACAGAGAAGTTCCAGAACACCTAGGGCAACACAAAAAAAACCCTGTCTTGAAGAAAAAAAAAAAAAAAGAGGTATGGACTACTATGTGTATGATGTATATGACTCCAGGTCTCACTAATGTAGACCTGGCTGGCCTCAGACTCACAAAGGTCTTCCTGCCTCTGCTGTGTGCTGGGATTAATGGTGTGCACCACCACACCCACCTTAAGACTGTGGTGAAAAACATGACTGCTGGCTCAAGCCTTTAATCTCAGCATTTGGGAGACAGGAGAGGTGGATATCTATGAGTTACAAGCTAGTCAGAACACACTATGAGACCCTATCTAGGAAAAGGGGGGGGGCTTTGATTTATGGCTGTCTTTGTTCTATTACTATAAAAGCTTAATGAAACTGATACCATATTGAAGCATGAATTTGTGGTTCCTGAATAAATTTTCTTATTTGAGGCAAATCTGTGTTTGTTTGGGTGAGGTGTTGGCAGTGCCCCAGTTATGTTCTCAGTATTGATATTTTTTTGTGTTTTGAATAGTCCCAACAATCAGCTTAAACTTTTTAGTAAACTGTTACAAACAATGTGGTATTATCTACACTTTCTTGTTTCATTTATAAAACATAGAGCAAGTAAATCTCTCTAAGGCTCACTGTATTAGTTACTTTCTTGTGATAAAACACCATGACAAAGGCAGCTTAAAGAAAGAAGGGTTTATTTAGGCTGAGGTTCCAGAGGGATAACCGTCCATGACCATTGCAGTGGGGAAGCATAGCAGCAGGCAGGCATGAAGACTGGAGCAGCCAATCTAGAGCTTACATCTTAAACCACAAGCAGGACGCAGAGAGCACGAACTGGGAATGTCACTTGGCTTGAAACGTCAAAACTACTCCAGTGATATACTTCCTCCAGCAAGGCCACACCTCCTAAACCTATCCAAACAGTGTCATCACCTATGGACTAAGTATTCAAACATCTGAACCTATAGGGGATATTCTCATTCAAATCACCACACCTAGGATTTTCAAAATAGTAAGCACTGATTTAATCATGAAGTCAGATAACACTGTAAGATTAAATCAGTAATCTTAGTTATCAGCTGCATTGGTTTTGGGATCAGCTAAGAGATATGTGTGAGTAAGTCTGTAAGTTTTCCTGGAAAACGTTTAACTGGAGTGGGGGGTGCGCTCTAATTTTATGTGAACTTGACACAAGCTGGAGTTATCTGAGAAAATGCCTCCATAAAATTTGACTGTAGGCAAGCCTATAGGCCATTTTGTTAATTAATGATTGATGGGAAGAGGCCCAGCCCACTGTGGGTGGTGTTAGACCTAGCTGGTGGTCTCAGGTTCTAAAGGAGTGCTACAGTAAGCAGCACTCCTCCATGGCCTTTGCATCAGCTCCTGCTTCCAGGTGCCTGCTCTGACTGCTCTCTTGGTTCCTAGAGTTCCTGCCATGACTGCTTTCAATGAGGAGGTTTTATATTGAAGTGAGTGAAATAAACCCTTTCCTCCCCATCTTGCTTTTGGTCATGGTGTTTCATCACATCAACAGAACCCTAACTAAAGTGGCACAAAACCTTCTGCCAGATTAGTGACAAGATCCTGTACATGATAAGCTTTAAGATAAACAGGATGTAAAAATGCAGAGATGACTCACAGTTTTTGTTGTGAAAAGGACAAGTATTGCAGTAAAAGACACAGTAAGACCTAGATAACATGTAAGGTCATTCCCTACTGATTACTCAGCAAGTAGGGAACAGGAGGAAGGGACTTGCTCTTATAGCCTGGCATGGTGGCTGGCTACATCAGTATGCTTGTCATTCTAGCCTGATGTCTGCTTTGCAAGGTGGCAAAAGAATCTGCCCCGCTTTCATGGTTGAGTCTCCAGTGTTATTATAAATCAAGGGTCTTCGTTTCCCAAAGATTCCCAAGGACCTCCTCAAGACATATTTGATGTAAATCGATGTTTGGTCCTGGAGGGTTAAGCTCTCCACAATGAACAACATGTTCCCCGGCTGTTTCTGCAGAAAGGTGAGTTCAAGATGAGGCGGTAAGAGTTCTGAGAGCCATGCAGACTGCTTTCTGGGTCTTGGTTCTGTTACAGATCCACCCATGTTACTGAATAACTAACATCCTCCTTTTCTACAAAGCAATTTACAAACTGATGAAGAAATAAGTGAACAGCTTTCCCAAGCAGCAGGACTTATTAACAGAAACCTAAATTACCAGTTTCTGAAGACAGGTGCAAAGCAGATATTTTAGCTGCTTTCTTGGGCCTGTCTCTAGCACCCTAGCTTTGGAACATTGTGCTCTTGAGGTGTGGCAGTCTGGGGCTAGTGTGCCAATGATGTAAGGAGTCTGTAGAAAGACCTTTTTGTTAGCCTACACAAGGTTTTATCTCTAGCTTTTTTTTTTAAATCAAGGGTCTCAGATCCCCTGGAACTGGAGTTATACAGACAGTTATGAGCTGCCACATGGGAGCTGGGAATTGAACCTGGGTCCTCTGGAAGAGCAGCCAATGCTCTTAATTGCTCAGCCATCTCTCCGTCCCCTATCTTTAGCTTTTCAATGGTTGCCATCTGTTATGATTTGAGTGTGACTTCCCAGAGTTCCATGCTGGGCCTTAGAACCCAGTGGGGCAATGTTGAGAGGTACTTTGAAGGATTAGGGCCCTCTAGGAGGTGACGAGGTAAGGAGCGCTGTCCTCAGAAGGAAGTGATGTAGTTCTTCCAGGGCCCTGAGTAGCTCCCAAGATAGAAGGTAATTATAGATTGAGGCTACCCTCACATGTGCTCCTTCCTATATGCAGCTGTTTCCCTTACAGCACAAGAAAGCACCCACTGGAGGTCAAACAGGTTTCCTGGTTTGGGGCTTTCAGGCTCCAAAACTGTAAAATAATTAAACATTTTCTTTATAGAAAATGGATGAATACACTGACCAATAAGAATATAAAATATTTCTATAAACTGAGCATGTTGGTACATGCCTGTAATTCCAGCATTTGGGAGGTGAGGGCAGAAGGTTCAAAGAATTCAGGTCATTCCCTGCCTCACAATGGTTTGGAAGCTAGCCTGGGCTACCTGCACTCACTCAATAGATTGTAGATATCTCAACTAGAGTTGCAAGGATTTATGTTGTTTTATACTTGTTTTTGAGACTAAAAATTTCATAGGGAAGACAGTCCAGGAAGTATATTT